GCACACAAACACGTGAGACCAACAGGACAGTTCCAGACCAACACGGCAGACCAGACCAACATTGCAGACCAGCGCGGCAATGCGGGTGTGGGCTGTGACCAGCACGGCAGACCGATTGCGCCGCCGTGCTGGGTCTGATCGTTCGCGTTGGTCTGGCTTGCCGTGCTGGCCTGGTCTGCCGTGCTGGTCTGCCGTGCTCGTCTGGTCTACCGCGGTGGCCTGCCTGGGGGTCTGCCGGGCCCGTCGGTCGTGCCGCCCCGATCTGTCGCGCAGGCCTCCCGCGCTGGTCTGCCGTGCTGGTCTGTGTTTGTGTGGTTCGTTGTGCTGGTCTGCCGTGCTGCTCTGCTGTGCAGGTCTGCCGTGCTGGTCTGCCGCGCTGGTCTGGGTTGCGGTGATGAGCTCTAGGGCTGTGTGCTGCGGGGCCTATGATGAGCTCTAGGGCTGGTCTGCCGTGCTGGTCTGGTCTGCCGTGCGGGCCTGTCGTGCTGGTCTGGCCTGCCGTGCTGGTCTGCCGTGCTGGTCCACCGTGCTGGTCTGAGAGCCTCTTGGGGGCCCCTGGGGGCCTCGTGGGCGCCTCTAGGAGGCCTCCTGGGGCATCTTCGGGAACCTCTTGGGGACCCATTCGGGGCATGCTGGGGGGCCTCTTGGCCAAAATGAGCGCCAAGGACGATACCCCTAGTTGGTCCTATGTTGGATGTTGCGAACCAGGGTCTGGGGCCTTCATGGGTCCCTCTTGGGCGCGTCTTGGAGGCGCCTTGGGGGCCCTTGGGCTCGTCTTGGTCTCCTCTGGGGCACCTCGAGAGCCCCTTCCGGGCATCTGGGGCTCTGGCTAGAGCAGCAAGGCAGATATGCTAAAAGTGCATGCTTTCCGAATGAGGCTGTGACGGCGTTCGCCCCTTGGAGCTCTATTGGGGATCCTCGTGAAGCCCAATTGGAGCATCGTTGAAAACCTCTTGGACACTGGTCAAGCCATCTTGGGCGTCTTGGGTGGTCTTGATAGAGGGCAGAAAATCTACCCCCATAAGAATCACCCCGACAAGCAAAGCCGCTTAGCAAACGCCCCCAAGGGAGGAATCGAACAGGGCAGGGGTGTTTAGAAAATGCCCAGGGCCGTTCAGCAAAAGCCAATTGTCGGTGTCTGGGTGGTTTTTCCTCCCTGGACTTGAGCCGCCCTGGAGGCCTCTTGGAACCTCTTGGAAGGCCTCTTGGGACCGTCTGGAAGCGCGGGCATGCAGCAGGCATCCCCGGTCCCGTGCCCAAGCGCTGCCTGCAGAGTATCGCCGGCCCTTTCCAGAGAAGTCCCTCCCCTTGGGGTCTGGGCGGGGGGAATCGCGAGCAGTCTGAGCGTCCAAGATGGCCTTCGCGAAAAAGCAAACCATCACTGGTTGTCCTTCGACGTTGTGCTGGCTTGGGGCTTCGGGGGGAGGAGAGTGAGGCGAATCTGCGCCGCCCCCTTTTTTACCCGCTGGCCTCCCAGATGGCCCGAAGACGGCCCGAAAAGCCCTCAACAGAGTCCTAAGAGGGCCCGAACAGGCGCCAAAGCGGCCCCAAAAAGCCCCCGAGAGGCACCCAAGACGCTCCAGGAAGCCCCCAAAAAGCCAGCAAGAGGCCCGCAAGAGGCCCCAATGGGCCTCTAAGAGGCCCCCAAGAGACCCCCGAAGATACCGGAGCCGGCATCCAAGAGGCCTCTTGCCCACCGAGGCTCCCCGCAGCATCCCGATGATGCCACGCTCCCACGATAAGGGCAGCTCTCCTGGGCAGCGTTCCTGGATGGGCTTGTGGAGATGCGCGAAGCGTTCAGGCTCAGAGCAATCGCCATGACCAAGAATTCGCATCAGCTTAAGGGGCACAAAATATTGCAGCCCACTCTATGCACAGTAGGGTACCCCTGCCGTATGGCATGGCCAATCTTGTGCCCAGATTCTCCGCACTGCCGCCAGGACATCACAACACAATCAAAACCAAACTTGAGGATGCTAAAGGAGTTATGCAAGACCCGTGGACATCCACACAAGACACGTGGACGCCCAAAACTCCTTACGTTGAGCCGACAGAGTCAGGGGTGCAAGGGTCCAGGGCACCCCTACAGAAGTAGCCCTATTCTCAAGTAGATGTTTGACTGTGGCGCAAACGACTCCGCTCAGAGTACGTTGATTGCCTCGATCTCTTCTCGCAGCGGCTCGTCCGCGCACTGGCCGCAACGCAGGAACGGAAGGGGCGCCATCTTGTCGCACCGCTCGGCCAAGTGCAGCTGGCAGGTGTGCAGCCCAGCGCCCACGTCTGCCAGATTCCTAGTCGATTCCCGCTTTCCCTCCTCCCGTTCCTATTCCCACTGCCTCTCCCCACGGCCCCTCTCCCTCATCACCCTTCTCTCCACCCATCCCCTGCCCCATCCCGTCCTCCGCCCTCCCCTGCCTCCCAGAATCCTCCCTCGTCCCATCTCCTCGCACATCCTCCACCCTCCCTCCTCTCACCGCCCTCCTCATCCGCCCTCCTCGTCCTCCTCCACGTCCACCTCCTCCTCATCATCCTCCATAGCAGCATCATCATCATCATCATCATCATCATCATCATCATCATCATCATCATCATCATCATCATCATCATCATCATCATCATCATCATCATCATCATCATCATCATCATCATCATCATCATCATCATCATCATCATCATCATCATCATCATCATCATCATCATCATCATCATCATCATCATCATCATCATCATCATCATCATCATCATCATCATCATCATCATCATCATCATCATCATTCATCATCATCATCATCATCATCATCATCATCATCATCATCATCATCATATCATCAGCATCATCATCATCATCATCATCACATCAATCATCATCATAGCATCATCAACATCATCATCATCATCATCATCATCATCATCATCATCATCATCATCATCATCATCATCATCATCATCATCATCATCATCATCATCATCATCATCATCATTATCATCATGATCATCAGCAGCATCATCGTAAGCACCATCACCACCACCACCACCACCACCACCACTATGATCATCAGCATCATCATCATCATCATCATCATCATCAGCTTCCTAATCATCATCAGCATCATCATCAGCATCATCATTGTCATTGTCATCGTCATCATCATCATCATCATCATCATCAGCAGCATCATCGTAAGCACCATCACCACCACCACCACTATGATCAGAATCATCATCGTCATCATCATCAGCAGCAGCATCATCACCATCAGCATCAGCATCATCATCAGCAGCATCATCAGCAGCAACAGCATCATCATCATAAGCATCATCATAAACAGCAGCATCAGCAGCATCATCGTCGTCATCATCATCATCATCATCATCATCATCATCATCATCCGCATCAGCATCATCGTCATCAACAGCATCATCAGCATCATCATCGTCATCAGCATCGTCGTCGTCATCATCAACATCATCGTCATCACCACCATCATAATCATCATCATCATCATCATCAGCATCATCAGCATCATCATCAACACCAGCGTAATCATCATACTCATCATCATCAGCATCATCATCAGTATCATCAGCATCATCATCATCAGCATCACCAGCAGCATCATCAGTATCATCAGCATCATCATCAGCATCGGCATCAAATCCATCATCCTCAGCGGCTTCATCAGCATCGTCGTCGTCATCTTCGTCGTGCATCATCATGAGCATTATCATTATCAGCAGCATCGGCATCATCATCATCAACGCCAGCGTCATCATCATCGTCGTCATCATCGACATCATCATCATCAGCATCAACAGCAGAAGCAGCAGAATCAGCAGCAGAATCAGCATCTACATCAGCACCATAACCATCAGCATCATCATCATCATCATCAGCATCAGCAGCATCATCATCAGCAACAACAGCAGCAGAAACAGCATCATCATTAGCATCTGCATCAGCATGATAACCATCATCATCATCATCAGCATCATCATCATCAGCATCATCATCCGTATCGGCATAATCATCATCGTCGGCGTCATCAGTTTCGTCGTCGTCAACATCAGCAGCATCAGCAGTAGCAGCAGAATCAGCATCAGCATCATCATCATCATCATCATCATCATCATCAACATCACCATCATCATCAGCATCATCATGAAGCATCAAAACCAGCAGCAGAATCAGCATCAGCATCAACATCTGCATCAGCATCATAGCCATCATCTTCAGCAGCAGCAGCAGCATCGTCAGCATCATCATCAGTACCGACATAATCATCATCGTCGGCATCATCTTCGTCGTCATCATCATCAGCACCATCTGCAACATCATCATCATCAGTATCGGCATCATCATCATCATCGTCCTCGTCGTCGTCATCACCATCATCATCACCATCATCATCACCACCACCATCATCATCAGCATCATCAGCAGCAGAATCAGCATCAGCATCTGCATCAGCATCATAACCATCATCAGCATCAGCATCATCATCAGCATCATCATCAGCATCATCATTATCGGCATGATCATCATCGTCGTTATCATATTCGTCGTCATCATGATCAGCATCATCAGCAGCAGCAGAATCAGCATCAGCATCTGCATCAGCATCAGCATCATAACCATCGTCATCATCAGCAGCATAATCATCATCACCATCATCATCAGCATCATCATCGTCACCATCATCATCATCATCATCATCATCATCATCATCATCATCATCACCACCACCACCATCAGCAGCAGCAGCATTATCATCAAAGGCCGCCGCGCGCTCAGGTCTTCTTAAGGAGCAGCGGCCTTTTTCCAGCGCCCTCCCCGCCTAGCCCAAAAGGCGGACGGCCCGAAGATACCCCGCACACCGCCATGTCGCCATGTCGCCGTGTGGTGCTCCAGCGCGCGGGCGCCGCGCACCAGCCGAACACTTTCAGAGGGCCGAACACCACATGACCTCGGCGGAGTCAAGCACGTTGTGGCGCCCCCGCAGGTGGGCGGCGCTCACGAGCTCAGGCGCACCGCGATCGGCTTCGACGGCGCCACTTCCGGATGGGTGCTGCCACTGGCCTTCCGCCAGGACTTGAGCTACGAGCAGAGGACCGACCAGTTCTACGACATGCAGATGACCTACCGCACACCGCCGTCGTCACCGACGAGGTGCCCGAGCCCACGCGCATGCACGACCTCGTCCCCGAAGAGAGCTCAAAACGAGAGCAAGCAGTTCACGTGCGATTTCTCTCACACAGTTGAAGAGGGATCGCGCTACGTGGCCGAGCTCAACACGAACCAGCCGCTGGACATGTACGCCGAGATGGCCGAGACGAACGGCGACGAGCTGAAGGCGCGCGAGATTGTTGACACATGCTACGCTGGTATGGATGCTCCCTCCATGACCGACTCCAACTACGCCGAGATGGCCGAGACGAACGTGGACGAAAGCAGTTTCGGAGAGAATTGGGCAGTCACCTCAAGCTGGGTACGCAGTGCCACCATACCTCGACCACAAGGCACGAGATCAGCCGCCCGAAGGAGCACGAGGCTGTTGACACCTGCTACGCTGGCACGGAGGATCCTTCCATGACCGACTCCATCGATGAAATCATACCCGTCGAAATCCGCGACGCAATCAACCAGGCCATCGCCAGCAAGATGACCCGCCTCACGGGGAGCAGCGAGGAGATGGTATGCTCAGCCATCGAGCGTGTGTTCGACGCCACCGTTTCTCACCCCTTCTGGGAACAGGACGGTGCGGTGATGGCTGTCAACGATTTGGCTATCGATTACAACAGTGACCTCGACGCTTACCGCGGGCTCCACTGAGCACGCACACGCATTGCTAGAGCCTTTCATCATTATGTCTCGGTCTCTCTTATTTTCAGCCACGCCCGAGCCCGAGCACGCACGCTGCTGTAGTCGATGCGGACATGGCCTCGATTTACGTTCGACGCAGAGACATGTAACGAGTGTCAGCTTATGCCGAGATTCTTTCGTCGCCTGGCTAGCGCCGCGCAGGACACCCCCCTTGTGCAGCACCCACGGATGACGGGCCCATGCGGGGCAGGACGAAAGCATCGGATGCTCTCTGCGACGGACCCTCGATTGCACACGACTCATGTTTCTTTGTGTGTTGTTTGGTCCGGACGTCGAGGAAGAAACATCATCAGATCATCACCCGCATCCTCATCATCCTCATCTGCTCTACTCGAGCCGCGGCAACGCAGAGGGGCGAAGCAAAAAGAAGTACTAGTTCGCTCGACTCGTGACGCGGGAACGCGAGTGGGCGGGCGGGCCATTACATGTGAAACTCGCTCGTGGGTAACGGGCCGTCGTCGTCGCCAACGTCAGCGTCGTCGACAGAGTCAGTATGAATCAGCGTCGTCGTCATTGTCGTCGTCATTGTCCGCGTCGTCGTCAGTGTCGTCAGCGTCATCGTCGTCGTCGTTATTGTCGTCGTTGTCGTCCTCGTCAGCGTCGTGCTCCTCATCGTGTTTATCGTATCCACCGTCGACACGACGTAGTCGTCGGTCGTCCCCGATCTTCGTCGTTTTCGTTGTCGTTGTGGTCGCCGTAATCCTCGTGTTTACCGAGTCGTCCGTCGTCGTCGTCGTCGTCGTCCACCTTTTTTTGGCCGTCGACGTCGACGTCGGTGGCCCCGTCGCCGTCGTATTCGTGGTCATCGTCGTCGTCGTCGTCGGCGGCGGCGTCGTCGTCGGCCTCGTCGTCGTTGTCGCCGTCGGCTGCCGGCGCGCAAGGGGGGTGGTCGTCGTCGTCGTCATCGCCGTCGTTCCCTGCCCCCCCGACCTTCGAAGGACGGCGGGGCCGACCCCCTGGAGAGGGGGGCAGGAAGTGCCGGGGATTCTGGAGAGGGGGGGGTCAGGACCTCCCCCCCACGACCCCTCAACCGGGGATGGACAGACCTCCCTTTAGTAAAACGTGGTTTAGTGAAAACGACCTGAGGCCCAAACCAGGCGGGCCCAGGCCTGGAAAATGACGGCCACGGCGCCCTCTCGAGAACCGAAGACGGACAGTTCACTAATCGACGTGTCACTGCTGGGGGTTCTGTCCACCCCCGACTCAAGCACCCACGCACGACGATCTTTCCGGCCTCCTCTGCCCGTCTCCTGGTCCACTTTGGGATGGGCTCGACGCCCAGCGCCCGGCACAGCTCGTCGCAGAAGTGGAGGCAGTTCCTCCTCACCAGGTTGCCCGCCGCCCCGCGAGGGGGCCGCGGGAGCTCTCTCCGGGGTGTGCCCCGAGGGGGAGGGGGGGGGCGGGAGAGGGGGCAGAAGGGGGGAGGGGGAGATGAGATGAGGGAGGGAGGAGGGGGGGGGGGAGGAAAAGGACGAGGAGGGGAAGAAGGAGGAGGAGGAGGAGGAGGAGGAGGGGGAGGCCGAGGAGGAGAGCGGAGGAAGCGGGGCACGTGCAGGATGCGGAGGGCCAGCAGGGTGGTGCTGTTGTGAAAGGCCAGGGGCGGCGGTGACTCGGCGTTGGCGTATCCGATCGGCCGCCCCCCGTTTCTTCTGCAGCGGAATGCCTGACGTGCTGAACTGGAGACACACGGTTGATTCATGTTTGTCCGTCGTCCTCTACCGCCGTGCTCCAAATGTCCCATTCGACTGCCTTGATGGTGCAGTTCGACCCCGAGACGTTTTCAAGCTCGCCCAAGACGGTCCCAAAAAGGGCCGAAATGGCAACCAGGACGCCTCGAACACGGCTATGATAGCCCGAGATGGCCCAAGATGCCTTCAAGACGCCCGACAAGGGGGGTCTCCAAGAGACAGAAAATGAGGGACGTACCCGACACATATGCAACAATTGACAGGATCCACCCAACAAATTCAAAGGGGCAACAGCAGAGGGCCCATCCAACTATTCGGCGCGGAAACCCCGGTATCATGTGCGCATCCGCCACCGTGCCTCTGGGCACGGAGCGGGCGTGTCCTCAGGTCCTTCGCCTGATCCCTTAAGCCTTAATCCCCATTCCTCAACAGTCTTTATGAGCGCCAGGGCATAAATTGCCAATGTGCCGCGTCGGAATAGCGGAGCGCTTACTCCGCGAATTGGCGCCAAAGTTTGCGCGCTGACGCTCCGCAGATTGGCTTCGAACCAGGGGATTACGATTGCTTCGCCCCCATTCGCGGAGCGCCCCTCCGCTAACCTCAGGACGGGCATGTCCTCCTACAGGCAGATGTTGAAGAAAAACGGTTGTCAAAATGAAAAAATGCTCCGTGATGATCGCCAAGAATCGAGCAGTCGTCCCCAGGCTATTGTCTGCCTATGTTTGACTATACGCGAATCGGCCCCAAACCACAAGACTACGATCGCCCCGCTCCCACTGGCAGGGCGGCGCTCCGCGAAGTGGCCTCGAGCCGGCGGGCTCGGCATTGCTTCGCCCCCACTGGCGGGGACGCCGCCCCGCCGTCAACTGGCCTCGGACCCCGGGGGACGGCCGACTGCTTCGCGCCCATTGGCAGGGCGGGGCTCCGCTGAGTGGCCTCAGACCAGAGGACTCGGAGTTGCCTCGCTCCCACTAGCGGAGCGGGGTTGGCAGACTGCTTCGCTCCCCTCAGCGGAGCGCCGCCCCGCTGTGTGGCCCCAGACCAGGGGGTCACGAGCGCTTCGCTCCCGCCAGCGGAGCGCCACTCTGGCACGCGGCCTCGAGCCAGGGGGTCGGGAGTGAGTCGCTCCCAGTGGTAGCGGAGCGCCGCTCTGCACACGGAGCCCGAACGGAGGCATTGCAACTGCTTCGCGCCCAGCAGCGGAGCGCCGCTCCGCAAATTGGCATCCAGCCAGGGCTTACACTTGCGATCTCACACTAGCGGAGCGCTGCTCTGCTAAGCGACGTCAAACGAAAAGAGCACGACTGCGTCGCGCCCTTTGCGGGGCGCCGCTCCGCTACGTAAAGCCCCAAACCAAGGGGTGAGGATCGCCTTCCCCAATCAGCCGCCCCCAAGGGCCCCAAGAGCCGCCCAAGATGCCCCAAGAGGCACCAAAAGAACACGTTGCACGCTTTCTGGACAGGGGTGCCGGCATATTGCCTACTGCGCGCAGGCCCATCATCCCTGTCAGGAAAAATGCTAAATAGGCTTCCCTCCTACCGCAAGTGTTTTCTCCGGCACTCAGGGATTGTGCAATGGCGAAGCCGATCTAAAAAAGCGCACCGAACCGGAGACGGGCTCGGACGAGGCTCCACGGCTCCTGGAGGCGCGGGGAGGCGGGCGGGTGACGGCTGAGGCCATTGCTCCCGTCCTGAAGCCTACGAGTCAGGCTTCCCTCCTACCGCAAGTGTTTTCTCCGGCACTCAGGGATTGTGCAATGGCGAAGCCGATCTAAAAAAACGCACCGAACCGGAGACGGGCTCGGACGAGGCTCCACGGCTCCTGACCCAAACCTCCACACAGCTCGAAAACAGCACAAGGGGAGATCGGGGCAGACGATCCCCGGGCAGTGAGAAGAGCAGCACTCAGATTTTGCCACGCTCGGGCCACGCCGACGCTACGGAGGCGGTGGCGCGAGCGAGCAGGCCGGGCAGAGCGGCGGCAAACCTGCCCACCAGCTCGCGCGAGGCCTGCGTCAGGTTCGGCACGAACGCGACGGCAGCGACCTCCTGGATGTAAATCTCCATGGACTTCAGCTGCCTCCACCTGCCGCGCCACTGCGTACGCGGCAGGTCCTCGCTCTGCTGGAAGAAGAAAGTGGCACCTCCCCCACGGTGCGACGCCGGCGTCAGGCCGTGCGCTTCCGTGGCCGCGATGCCGAAGAACTGCACGAGGGCGTCGTGGCACCTCCGGAAGTGCTGGTAGGTGCCCCTGAAGACCTTCTCCCCGCGCGGCCGCCCGGCGGCCAGGCGCTCCAGCAGCCTGACCAGCGCCACCTCGTCACACCTGGCGTGCTCC